AATTATTTTTTCTTCACTAGGTTTGTTCTTATGTCTTGTTCACTTAAGAAAAAGTAAAATACTCATAGGAGGTAAATTGTATGCCTTTTGTCAGCTATGTACTTTTTACCTCTTCTGTTCCTGTATTTTGTTCGTTTCTATCGATGCTTCAAAGAATTATTTTTTCTTCACTAGATTTGTTCTTGTGTCTTGTTCACTTAAGAAAAAGTAAAATACTCATAGGAGGTAAACTGTATGCCTTTCTGTCAGCTATGTATTTTCTACCTCTTCTATACCTGTGTTTTATTCGTTTCTACCGATTCCACAAAGGTGTTTGTCATGTCATACTATGTCGTTTGAAAGTGAAAATTTTGCTTGTAATGTCTCCTTCCCTCCTAATAAAAATATTTTAAAAAAATGATGGATTTCCCTACGTGATGACGTAACTCATTCAAAATCAAACTTCTTTTGAAAGGTTCTATGAAAAAAATGTCTCCTTAAGATCTGGATTGCATTTATTTAACATCTCATAAGAGCATAAATTTCATTACTGAAGTTGCTAAACTTACATTTAAAAGCAAATTCTTTGATCTGTGTTAAATTTCAAAACTCCATCGTGTAAAAAACAAAAACTCAGAACTTCATTGACCAGGGATATTGTTGGCCAAGTAGGGTACGCTGATACACCCTACATTTTCGGGATTTTGTATGCGGCATAGGCACCTGTGAAATGGGACAGCTTATGCCGCGAGGCAGTGACGTAAGCGGCCTATAACTYGCTGCAGCCCCTGAACTGAGACACAGGCTTTGTCCCAATTCAGGGGATGTGTCCTTTGTCAATCATGAAGACAGGAAGAGGTCGCTGTGAATTTGGACAGTCTGGCCTTCAGTTTTATGCCCCAACCCCCCTCCCCACCCCCGCCTTACTCTGGCATAAGTCCTGCCACCTAGCAACTGTAAGGATGCGAAACAGAAGCAAAAAATTGATCCACAGGAGCAAAAATATTAATAAATTTGTATTATTAATACTATAAAATAAAACTAACTCAGAGACAATACTTGAACAACTAAGGGACCCACAACACAAGCTTGTTTATTTTGCCGTTTGAGCACATTTGATTTCTGACAAGAATAATATTAGACGGTGAAGGTAAGTCCAAAGCTTACTAATGATATGTTAAATGTAAGTGCTTTAGTTTCTGTCATTTAAAAAAATAATTTTAGGTTATTATTCATAGCAGAACTAAGAAAAATGTATAGCAGTATAATATCTCTATCATACTAGATCCAAAGCCAAACAGTTGATGTGCTTTCATGTGGTAGTTCTGCATTCGTTTTCGCACACACCTTTAATACCCCCTGAGCTTTTGGGAAACCCCTCCCACTGCAGTATACATCACTGAATGGGGTTCCTTCCTGCTTCCTTCTAAATGTGACCTTTCATCCCAAAGGCATTTAATGCAAAATTGACTGTGGTGTAAACATTTGTGATGTAACATAATARATAGCCACTATGACATTCTGGAGGTTTACTGTGTTTTAAGTCAGGGATCCATTTTGGTCTTAGTTGTGTCCTGACTAGCCAACAGCTCGTCAGTCCTGTCAGACGTAAACTGTTAGTTCAAGTAGCTGTTTACAACAGTTAGGATATTATTTATTTGTCATTCGTACATAGAAACTGACTTCAACTTGGATAAACTSTTCTTTTATAAACTGAAAATTGACTTTTTAAAAATATAGATACATTCTAGGAATTCATAGGAATACTTTTACTCCAGAGCTGTCTTATACACMATATAATCATTGTCTCAAATAATACCCTCTAAAATTGGTTTGAGTAGTAAAATCATTGGGCCTCATGCAAGAACTGTTCARACGCACAGATTTGTTCTTAAGTTGTGCGTACGAGTGATTAAGGTGAATTTGTGGCATTCACCAATGCTTTCGTATTCTGAGTTTTTTTCAGATATTAAKAAAATTCACGTGTGGTCCAGACCTGTCGTATATTTTACGAGCAGTCAGTCTGCTGTTTTTCACTGATTTTATTCACTAATAACTTTGTATTTCGTTAGTTTGAAGATATTTTGAGTTGAAAATAAATTACACTCTATGATTATCTTGACAATAGGCTATTCTGCTTGAATTAGAGTTATAATTTTAAATATAATAATTTAGACTAACAATAAATTGTCCGTCCATCTGTTTTCTGCCGCTTATCTGGGATCGGGTCACGGGGGCAGCAGCAGAGAGACCCCGCTCTCCCCAGCGACACCCTCCATGTCCTGTGGGACTCCGAGATGTTCCCAGGCCAGAGGGGATACATGATCCCTCCAGTGAGTCCTGGATTTTCTCCAAAGTGCCAGACATATTTTGAAAACATTTTAAAATGCTTATTTCAGACCAACATCTGAGACCACCTGCGACCGCGCGGGGGTGGTGATGGTGGTGGTGGTGTGGGGTATGGTGCGCCAACGGTGTGGCTTCTGAATAAATGAAGATGATTTAACACAGTTGTTTACATTTTTAGCAGCTCATTTTATTCCACAGCTGACGCTGCAAAAAATTACAGATTTTCTTTTCTGGATCTCTGACAGACGGACTTCAATCTCTGAACTCGCAAAGTTCTTCTTTTTAGTTTTCGCTGTCATTTTCCTGAATGGACACTTCCTGATATCTGAGGCAGGAAACATAGCCTTATATGGTGTTTTTGGGGTGGTAATTATGCTAATCTCCTCTCGCGTGCACGAGCAGCAGGATAAGAACTGGTGGAATTCATCATGTTTACGCTCCTCATTTACACAATTTTCCTGAAGATAGAAGAGTTTGTTGAATCTGACGTGGCATGTTCGAATGAAGCCTTCATACSAACAAAAGTAAGAGAAAAGTTAGTTGTTTTAAAGATGAAAATCAGATTAAGTTTGTCATGATTTGACACAACTTAAAGTTAACTATCACAAAAGTGTGATGGTTGACAACATGAAAAGAGGATTTGGAAGTAGGTGTAATTTAGTCACCTGTCGGTGGAGTGTGCGACTAAGTGCATGTGTGCGTCTGGGAAGGGGTTGTCGCTGTAGACTCTCTGAGTCTGAGTGGCTGTTGGGGCTGATGGGTCTGAAGAAGTCTGTGGGGACTGTCAGCTGCTGAGAARGTTCCTCCGGCTGCGACTGCACTGAGCCTCTGGAACCTACAGCAAGAGCACATAAGTGACAAGTAAGCAAGATCAGTCAGCTTAGCAACTCTCTGAGACATTTGTTCAGTTCTAAGGATTACCGGATTGAGCCCTGTGGATGCCCAGTATGGGTTGGGATCCTTGTGACTGAGCTATGAGCTGCAGTGGAGCAGGAAAAGAGGGGCCAAAGGGTTCCAGGGGGAAAAACATGTAGCTGTCATTGGGTAGAGAGTGGGTCCGTCCCACTGCAGGCTTTTTGACACTCAGCAGGTTGTCTTTCAGTGGCCCCTCATAACTAAGCTCCTCTGGCTGGACAAACAGAGCACAGAATCAGAGTCCATGTGTGGGCTGGGAAGGATCCACTCAGACCCCCCCCCCCCCCCCCACACACACACACCAGCTTTCATAGCTGTCAACTCTCCAATACAGTACACGAACAAAGAGGCAAAAACCATCTGGATACATAAACACACAAGATCTTTGAACATTTAGGTAGACTGGGGCGGTGCTGCCACAGATCACAGAAATTTCTCAACTTCTGTTTGTAAAAAAAAAAGACATTTGCTTTTACCCTGCAGTCATTTACATTTCTGGAAGTCCACTCCATGACTGTGTCATCTAGGGCAGCAAGCAACAGCCTGACCTGCTACAGAACATTTATAGCTAATTCACTAAAACTATTACACACGTTTACAACCCTGTGTAGCAAACAACTGCTTCAAGGGAAGAGAGGAACTACTGGGCTACAGGACAAAAGATTGTATAGACACGACCTCTTGGAGGAAAGACGCAGACTCACATCTAAAGCACAGGGTAAAAACAGTATTGAAAGTATGACAGAGGGGGAAGAAAGAGAGACATCTGAAAGGGAGAGACAGTGTGTTTAGGATGCGGAAAAGTTAAAAACTGAAAACTGGCCCTTAGGGAGGCGCACTACTCTTCTGAACTAGAACAGACACGAGGCTGAAAAGGTGAATGAGAAAAAAAAATTTAGGCACATGGGTAAATTCAGCACTTCCAAAGCCAGCTGGACTACCCCAGTAACTTTTTTCACTTTTTTGTCATTTATATTTGTCCCATTTTTGATTTGATGACAGTGTAAAGCTGGAAATGTTAAAGTTCAAATMAACTTCTGCAAAACTGTGAGGATTAGAATCCACTTCGGAAAAAAGTATTTTGATACAGTATTGACAAGCTAGTACGATGGTAGTATTAGGGCCACAAAGGAGATTTTTTTTAATTACAAGAACAAAGTCATAATATTACAACATTAAAGTTAAAGTTGTTCTGGTAATATTACCAGAAAAAGTCATAATCTTACATGACATGTTCATTTTCAGTTCCTGATTCTTTCCTCACCTCCTCCTCATTTCCTCACACTTACTGTGGGCAGCCATGCATGTCACTGTGTTTATGAAGTAGTCCACGATGACCTTAGTATGGGATAAGATAACTGTCAGAATCATTGTATGTGTAAGAGTCTAAATTTGTACATGTAAGTCTATAAACATACATACATTTGTTACAACTTTGCCACATTACAAGTACAAATCAAATTTGCAAGTACAATTCTTTTACCTGTSAAAATAACAGACATTATGCATGAAACACCGAAAAGATCGATTGCAAACAGTAACTAAGCCAGACCACTGAGAGGACATAACCACTGCCTCATTTGGGACCAGATGAACTCTTTATAAACACACCAATTTTCTGAAGGGAAAACCATTTGGAGGCTTTTCAGTTTGTTATTCATGTTATGTAGTACAACAATAAAGTAGATAGTGGATTTATGATGAAATATGTTATTTTATTTTATTTTTACTTTAACACTGATTTCATTTTTTAAAAATATTTTATTCAATTTCTTAAACAGAATCCTGCTTTTATGGTAGTCTTTTTTGAACATTTATTTTATTTTTCTATATTTTTCTTTTTCTTTTGCACGTTGTCAAAATGTTTTGTTTGTGTAAAGCACTGATTTGTCTTGTTGCTGAAATGTTTTATATAAAGCTGCCACAATGTAGTAGTAATAATAATAGTAGTACACTATATTATGTGTTAAAATGTGTTGAGTTATTTGCAATACATTTCATTAAACATTTTAACAATTTACTGCTTCCCCCCTCCTTTTTTTTTACTATATTCATTGTTTCATCTATCACTCACAGCTGAGTTAGGTAAAAACAAAAGTGGTGAATATTTAAAAAAATTTATTAAAGTAAAACCATCAATGTCAAATAAATGAAAACTTCTAGGTAAGCTTTAATATAAACAGATTAAACATCCTGAATTTAAAAAATATGTCAAGGCCTGGTGTTTGACTTCCTCAGCTCTAAARGGGACATTTTAAAACTGTACATTTGCATTAACTGAATTTTTCAGCTGTCATGAAGGCTTTAAAACCCWGATGAACAGATTTTGTTCCAGTGTCTCCTCATCCTGCTGCTGGTTCAATTCTTCAGATGGTCAGGAACTCCATCACCTCCTCATCCACCTGCCTGTCAGATGTAGGTGTGGATGTAGAGGACATCTGCCCTGGGTCCATGGATGGGCTGAGTGCTGCTCGCTGCATCAACTGCACTTATCTGAATCACAGAAAACCAACAGGTTAACAGGACTGATTTATTTTAACTTTATTTAATGAATTATATTAACTTTATTTCTATTAAGTTTATCATATTACTGCTAATACAACTATTTGACCTGATGTGGGATGGAACTGGCTTTCACTGGTTGTAGTCTAATGCTACGTTCATACCGAATGCGTTTTGAGCAGCCAAAAAGCGCAAAACGTCTTTCGTTGAACGCACTATTTTCACTCCGAGAACGCACTAGTTTTCAGACCAGAACAAGCAGTGGCAGCAGCGAGGTGTGGGAGGAGCGTGTCCTCGGCGGGTGAATAAAGATAAAATAAAAGAAAATGGCTTTGATTTATTTACTAAAAAGCAAGCGAATGTTGCGCACAGCAGATAATTAACTCACCAGATGATTTAGAGGCGATTTGTTCGGTTAGTTTCGTCACTCCAGAAGCTGCCAGCTGACGGACTTTTTTTTTGTCCCGAGCAGCTGATCCACATCGGTGCTGATACATCCTGCCAGAAAATCCAACTGCACATGGTCGATTTCAGGTAAAGATCTCTGGTCAGTCTGTTTCGGTTTTCAGTGGGAGATGCGTCGAGTGGCGAAAAGTTCAGATATTTGAACTCTGGCGGCGGCTCGGGTGGCGGCTCGGGTGGCGGCTCGGGCGGCGGCGGCTTCAGCAGCACCGCATGTGCYGAAAACGCTCTGCGCCCCTTCCGCCTTCTTTGCGTGCCGRGACYCACGACCCCTAGAGGCACCTCCACCATAGACTTTGCATGTAAATCGGCCACTCCTGCCGCTCACAACGTGCTCGGTGTGAACGTAGCYTCACTGATGGAGCCGATGGTCTCAGTCTTCTGATACAAAGGTCTGGAGACAGGTCCTCAGTGGGTCCACAAACAGATTCAGGTCCATGTTGAATAAAAGTTAYTTAAAAAGAACACAGTCACAGCCAGCAGTCTCATTAATCAGACAGCAAACATTTTTCTACACATATTGGTCACTGAAATCTGAAGGAAGTAGTTTGGTAGTAGTTAAAAATAGATTAACTTAGTTAAACAGTTTAACTTTGATTTATGGTGATTCTAATTAAAATCAATGTCCGTGTAGTTCTGACAAAGCTTTAAAAATGTAGCCAACAAGGTCTTAATAAACAAAACAAAATATAGAGAAAGCTTTTTAAACTCAATTTTAACACCAATTAGTTTTTTGTTCTTTTCAAGCCYTTCTAAATAAACTTCGACTGAACAGGAAGCATGAGGCTGTTTTTTCTTTCCTGTTCATATCATCATGCTAACGCTAACACCATGTTAKCAACAACAGCAATCAACGAAGCTCTACTTTCAGCATAGAAACTATTTAAACACATCCTCTTACAAATACTGACAAGTACTACGTGTACCAAATGTGAAATAAATAATACAAACTACTATTAAAAGAAAAAGAGTTTAACTTACAGTTGTTTAGGGGTTTGATGTTGGGCAACTTGAGTCCCCCTACTGGCTGGGTCCGTGCACTGCTGTTATGTGTTTTTGAACTTGCATTATTTTTTCCATTATGCAGTCGGTTTTATGAATGCATCAGTTTTCCTTTTTGGTTGTTCATCAGAAATCCACTTTATTGTTGTACTACATGACATGAATGACAAACTGAAAAGCCTTCAAATGGTTTTCCCTTCAGCAAATTGTGTATATAAAGAGTTCATCTGGTTCCAAATGAGGCAGTGGTCATGTCCCCCCTAGTGG